TTAGGACTCCGTTTGGCTAGGTGGTGAGAATATTTTAAGGTTTTGAAAGAAACCTTGAAATTAAAAATCCTAAAATACCCTTATTTTTGCACTGATACCATGTAAAATTTGGAAGAAAAAAAATTTTATTTCTTACATTTTAGGTTGTTATACCTAAAATATTTATAAAATTCTTAACATACTAATTAGGAAATAACTATTCTATTAGAATTGTAATTACATGAGGTTACTATTGTAGTAAAATTCAAATTATATAATACTAACTAATTAAATAGTAAACTAAAATAATAAAATATCATATTCAACAAGAAGCAATTTCTTGGAAACAGAAATCAATAAAGAAATAGCTTAGAGATGGGGGCAAGAATTATAAATATTTTCATATGTTAGCTAGCCACAGAAGAAGAATAAATTTTTTTGACGAACTTGTTTTGAATGACAAATACATCAAAGGTAATGAAGTTTTGAGAGAAGGGGTAAAAGAACACTTTTAGAAATTGTTTTGTGAAGAATATAACGACAGACCCAATCTTGATAATCTTCCATTTTTAAGCGATAGTGAAAGAGATCAGCTTGAAGAAAAATTCACTGAAGAGGAAATCTTGGGCTGCCTTAAGGAATGTAATGGGGACAAAGTCCTAGGTCTGGATGGTTTCAACATCAAGTTCCTTCAATCCTTTTGAGATATCATCAAATGTGACATATTAGAGCTATTCAATGATTTCTGTAGCCACAACACTTTTGTAAAATTACTCAACTCTACTTTTCTTGTCATGATCCCCAAAATAGCTTAGCCAAAGAATTATAATGATATCCAAAATTCTAGCAAAAAATTGTCGAAGGTATTAAAGAACATAATTGGAAACTGTCAACACACATTCATTCCTGGAAGACAGATTGCTGATGCCATTTTAACTGCTAATGAAACAGTTGACGAAACCATTAGACACAAAAAGGAAGGAATTTTGTATAACCTTGAATAGAAAAGGCGTTTGATCACATTAACTGGAATTTCCTATATTATATGCTTTTGAGACTTGGTTTTGGACCCAAATGGAGAAGCTGGATAAAAACATATGTTTCCACTACTAGTTTTGTTGTGATTGTCAACGACGGACCCTCCACTTTTTTCAATGCCTCTAGAGATCTACAGTAAGAGGATCCCCTTTCTCCACTTTTATTCATTATTGTGATGGAGGCATTGAATCAACTAATTGAGAAAGCAAAATCACCGAACTTGATTAAAATGATTACTGTAGGTAACAAAGATCACAAAACGAAAATTTTTCATCTTTTCTTCGCTGATTATACGTTAATTTTTTGTCAACCGGATTTCAGCTCCCTCATCTTCCTTAAATGTATTTTACTATGTTTTCAGGCTGTCTCCGGTTTAAATATAAATCTCCAAAAATTTGAGATGGTTTTGTTGGGAAACAGCTCCACAAATGAAGACTTCAGTGTGGTTTTGGGCTGCAAGCAGACACAGTTACCTATCACTTACCTTGGGGTTTCTCTTGACACTAAGCACAATAACAGTAATTGTTGGGAATCTGTGATCGATTTGTTCAATAACAGATTATCTACCTGCGAAAAAAAATTTCTATCAAAAGGAGGTAGATTGACATTGATTAAAAGCACACTCTCCAATCTCCCGATTTACTTTTTATCGATGCTTAACATATCAAATAAGGTGGCAAAGAAACTAGAGCAGATTCAATGTAACTATTTTTGGAGTAATAGTGAAAATTGTAAGAAATACCAGCTAGTGAATTGGTTGGAGATAAAAAAAACCCTTAAAAGAAGGGGGCTTAGGACTAAGATCAATAGTCAAACTAAACAAGACACTTCTTGGTAAATGGATTTAGAGATATTGAAATGAAAATGACAGCCTCTAGAAAATAGTGATAGACTCAAAATGGTATAATAACAATCCACAAAATCTCTCTTACATCAAAAACAACTATGGTTACAGTTTATGGAAGAATATCATCACACTAAATAATGCGATATTTCAGTATTCAAAATGGAATATTGGTAATGGATTTAAGGTCTGTTTCTGGGAAGATTTTTGGTGCGGTTCAGAAAAATTAAAAGACAAATATCCCCTTATCTATGGGATTGCTAGAAACAAAGTTGTCATTGTATATGATATTGCTGGTTCAATCATTCTTGCCTCCTGGAGTGCCCTAGTAATGAGGAACCGTCAAGATTGAGAACTAGAAGATTATCAATTCTTACTTCATTTATTGGCAAATACACAGTTGCAAAATCAAAAAGATAAACTACATTGGAAATTACAAAAGAATGACCTCTTCAGTGTCAGCTCTCTCTACTCTTTTCTGGCCGGTTATAACTCTAATGAAATATATTCTTTCCCCTCTAAAATCATTTGGAAATCGGGTGCCCCTCAAGAATTGTTTTTTTTATTTGGGAAGTTGTGAAAAGGAAAATTCTCACAATAGACAATTTGATGAAAAGATGGCATACTGTTAATGGGTGTTTCTTATGTAAGAGATCTCTTGAAATGTTAAATATCTCACAAACTCTGGAGCATGATACTCGGGCTTCTAGGGATCTCTTGGGTAATGACAGATTCTGTTTATTTCGAACTTCTGGCATGGGAAGGTCTGAGTAGTAACAAAGCGCTTAGATTAATCCCTCTTATCATTTTCTGGGTTATATGGAAGGAGAGAAACAACAAGGCTTTTGAGAGGTTTGAACAAGATTTTAATACCATTAAAGATAAATGGTTTTATTATTTTGGCTATACTGTTTTATGACATAATGTAGAATGTTTTGAAGATGTAGATTCTATTGTAGATATGTTAATTGACATGTAAATTTTTTGTAAATGGGTGGTGCTCTCTTAGCACCTCACATTAATACATCTTCTCTTCTTTTATTTCAGAAAAAGAAAATGACATTTATAGGTTGGAAAGTTTTGAGAATACCATTGATAAATTAACAGAGTTATAAATATCTTGTAAATGGGTGGCACCCCCTTGGTGTTGTGATTTTATATACTATATTTTTTTAATCTTAAAAAACTAATTTATTTACAGGATGCATTTAGAAGATATTATATTCTGTCCCTTCTTTTTTTATGGGTCTATTCCAAGGGGCGTATACTCTGAGACAATATAGGGAAGATAGCCTGAAAGTCTCAAATTTTTCAGTATGGTGGGGGGAGGAAGGACAGTGGATAAATGCACTGTTCCTGGCTTAGGTTAATACAGCTGAAGTTCCCTAGGAAACGAGAAGTATTTTTCTTCCATGAGGGAGTTCCAAGCTTCATATAGACGGATGTCTGAAAGTTAGCCAGAAGTGGAGGGACCAATAAGTGATCATGGAAGGTGGATTGGTTCAAACTGAACCCTTCAAAAGTTTTAATTAGGCAAGTATTGAACTGAATTAAATGAGTCTCAAGTTTTTGTTCAAACTGACAGAAGTCACAGTTGCTTGGAATTACCATTAACTATTTTGCTTCTCTCCCTCAAGCAGCATCTTAATTGGGTCCATGCAACAGAAGATTTAGGAAGATATAGGGACATTATATATATCTTGAACAAACTGGTAAATTCTTGTCTTTTGTTTATATTTTAAATCTTTTGTACTTGAATAGCATCGTCTTGATGCTTTTCTATTCAAGATTCTCTTTTCTTCTAAGAAAAAAAATATTTGCGTGTGGCTTTAATGAGTCTTGAACTGAATTGGGACTAGAAAATTTTGGAATATGACATTTGATTATAGAAAGGATGTCTTGACTTCCTCTTGTGCACCTAGCCACACAAATAATAAAGTTTGATTGCGTTAGGTTGTTTAACTTGCTGCTGGACTTACTTCCTCAGTTAATTTGCCTCACTGGCCTATTTGTTCTTGAAGGTTGTCAATTGATAGCTGTCATTCTAGCTATTCCAACCTGTGTTATTGAAGGCTCTCTAATTGATATCTTTTGCTCTAAACAAATTAACTGCAAAATGAAGTTCCTTGTAATTTTGATATAATTGAGTTTGATAAAAGGTATCCTAAGTCTAAGTTGATAGGAATATCTGAACTTCATTATTTATTATAAGGTTCTAGCATGCTCCCTCACATGCAAGCAAGATATTGACATCAGAAATTTATGTTTTAGTACCATGTAAAACAATATTGTGATTAATTATTCAAAAAGGTTAAACTGTCAAGAAAAGGTCTAACTTATTATTTATGTTGTACTTCCTAAAAATTGTCAAATTATTCACAATGATGGATTTAAGACTTTTAAGACTGGTGAATATATTTCTGCTGACCTATGTTCCCATGCAGGGGGGGCTGATTTGAGCTTTATAATGTTATCTGGATGCTCTTGCCACATTGAATTAAAAATACTGCTTAAGTTAATACTTTCTGGAACAAGGATGGAGGTGGAAACTATGGCCTACAGCAATGTGCATGTATAAGGTTCAGGGCAAAGAGGATGCCTTCCACAACACACAATATGCATGTATCAAACCGTGGTCTGTTTCAGCTGTCAGCTTCAAAAACTCTGCTGGAATGTGTTCTATGTTCAGAGTACAGATTTTGGCTTCCAGCATGATATGAGGTCGGTTCTTAAGATACTTTTTCTCCATTGTGGGTTGATGTTAATTTCTGCTAGAGAATTTAGGAAATCAGCAAGCTTTGATACATAAAATTTTATGTTCTTGTATATGAATTAACAGAAAGAACTTGTTTAGCAGTGCGACTCCTTATTTTGTTCGGTATACATGCTAAAGCCTGGTGGAATGGTGTTTGTTTCTTCTCATCTGGAAGTGGGATACTTGACAGATTGCAATCATGAACCAGAAGCATATTTTTTATTGCGAGGGGAGAGATCCCAGATTCTCTTCAACAAAAAAAAAGCTATATCAACCACCATGAACAACGGGTTGTTACTATACCCCAATCTTAATGGAAGCTCAACAGTAACAAAAATAAAGAATACAATCATTAAAATAAGTAGGGAACTGAAACATCAAAAGAGAAAATCAGTATGTTTTAAAGATTGAATTGTATGATGCTACAAAGAGAAGGAAAGGCAGCAGGGAGAGTCCTAAGTTGATGGAACTTGCATTTGATGAGCCATTTTCCTGAGTTGACGGTACTGTTTTAGATCCACCTCCTGCACCCAAATGTCAATTTTGAATGACTTTACAGCAAGTTGGAAACCGAAAGTTCACATTTGATGTTAGTGTGGGGAAATAAATATATGAAAATTGACTCTTGCTAGCCAACTTTTTTTTGCACGAGTTTCTACATCAGTTGACTTCGGTTACCTACAAACAGAATAATGAAAAAGTAGCAGCCCTTGATAAAATGGAACGAGTCATGGATAATTCTATACCTGGAATTATGCTTCCAGATTCTGGCGATCCTGCAGGAGCAGCAGCTGGACATGCACATGTATAATAGTTAGTAGAATATTAGGAATTCCCTCCTTTTTCTTTGAGAGAATGAGTTGTATCAACTAGTCTTCTGTACTTTCCTAAAAAGTGTCTTCATCATTAAAATAAGTTCCTGCTAATCACTATGGAGATTTTACTTCCATTCTTTAGGCCAGGTAAATGGTTTTGTCTTGCAGGAAAATCTAGATAAAATAGATATCAGTTTAGAATTTAATGTATTCTTACAGTTACAGCGGCTGATGGAAGGCGTCTGAACATTGCAAGCAGCAGGTAAGGCCAGAGCTTGGGTCTGGTTGATATTGATCCCCAGAGACGAGCCGCCACCATTTAGGACCTCACACAAGCATTGCGGTGAAGTGCGAACAACATTGGCCAGCTGCGTGCAGCATTGTGAAGATGGGGTTGAGGAGTTCCCTGTGATGAAATTGAGGCAAGGGGACATGCTTATTAATACGTTTGTGCAACTTGACTGGGCTGCAGCTCCTGCCCACAGCATGGTAAGAACGGCCAGGAACAGACCCATAATTGTTTTCTCCTTTGCCATTAGTTTCTCTTTCTGGTAATTGAAGTTATGGCGGTTTCCTTAGGTTGCTTGAGTTTCTTCTTGCCTCGTAGTGGTTTATAAAGGAGGAAAGAGGGAAGATAAATCAAAGAGGGGCTTATTTGTTGGTGACCAACTTTCAATTTCCTCTATTGGGTCCTTGTGATAAGGTGCGTTTTCAAACCTGGAGTGTTGGAAAATAATTGTGGCTTCTATAAAGAAACATTTGAACGTAGGTCACCTATTTGAGGTTGATAATCAGGACCTGGGACTTTTGAGTTTTCGGAGAAAATACTTCTGGAGATTATTCCAAGAAGAAAGCATAGCGTGTGTCTGACTCTTTTATCTTTGCATAGAAATTTGGCTTTCTACTTTTTCTCTCTTGAAGTCTAAATCTTGTCTAGAAAGCAGAAAATTCTGTAGGGGAAAAGTAATGAGAGTATTAGAGATATATAATGTGAATGGTGGAAATAATGGAGCAGCAGCTGATATCTTCGACTGGCTCTTTGCTTCGAACCCATGAATAATTTTTTTTTTTTTTTTTTCTGGTTATCGATCATAAAATTCGTCTATTTTATTTTATTTTTATTCAAAATAAGTTTATAAAATATTTAAATAAATAATTAAAACTCAATTAAAAATTTAAAGTACAAAAGGAAACAAAGTATAATTTGAGATAACGTTTCAAAGAAGTATAATCTTTTCAATAATAAATATAAAACATCTAAAAATGGAGCTAAAGTAAGTTTACATGAATAAAAATGTTGGAGGGGACATTCCAAAAATATTGGATAATTAATACATAATTAAAAGTTAATAAGTTATTTAGGTCTAATTAAATAGTTTTTAATTTTACTAAGATTTTTAACTAATTAGGATAGAGACACAAAAGAAGTCAAAATAAGGGCCACAGAAGATATATATATATATATGGTTGGCTTACTAAAAACTGTCTTTCCCACAAGTTAGTTAAGGTAGTTGAACTCCAAAACCAACTTTGAAATCCACCTGTCTTTTTTACCTTCATCTATTAATCTATAAATTCCCCTCCCCCTCTCTCTTTCCTAATCATCTTCAACTTCAGTTCTCTTTATTCGTTTTCCAAAATTCTCAGACCAAAATGGAGTTTTATTCACGCCTCATCGTTGCATTTACACTCTTCATTTTGCCTGTTTATGGACAGCAGATCACCACTGGATGCACAGCTTCCATGCTTTCCACAGTCACTCCTTGCTTGAATTTCCTTACTAACAGCACTGCAAATGGTACTTCACCAACCTCAGATTGTTGCAATGCACTTAAGTCTCTTACCGGAAACAGCATGGACTGTGTCTGCCTCGTTGTCACCGGAAATGTTCCCCTTACGATACCAATCAACCGAACCTTAGCCATCTCTCTTCCCCGTGCTTGTAACATGCCCGGAGTTCCCCTACAATGTAAAGGTAAAACTTTATAAGCATCTCTTTAATAAGATCTAATAAGTGTATGCTTTGTTTACACGTGAAAAATATATAATATAATATAAATAATGAATCGGATAGCTTAAATTTTTAATCAATTTCAATTGTTTGCAACTTATCTTTTCATTTGAAGAGTTTCAGTTAACTTACACTCATGAGAATTTCATCTCTTTTTCTTTTCTGCAGCCTCTGCTGCACCTCTTCCTGCTCCAGGTAAACATGGCTTTCTAATCCTTTTACTACTTGGAAATGAATTTTTAAAATCCTTTTTTAATATAATTAATTTAATTATACATGTAATTGGCAGGTCCTGTTGCTCTCGGCCCGATTCTTTCACCTGGAGCTTCACCATCCTCAAGTACAGAAGGTAAAAAAAAGTTTTTTCATATAATGTGCGATTAAAGTTAATTAAAATGATTTTGACTTCGGTGAATTAGTTAAACTAATATTGAATATTTATGTTTATTGAAGTTCCTCAACCAACACCATCCGCCAGTCAACCACCAGAATCAGACACAACACCATCTCTAACTCCGCCGGTTGATGCCGAAACACCAAACACAACAGCAGGAAGCCGCCCTGTTCTGACACCATCGGCAGCACCTCCTGCTTCCTCCCTTTCTCCTTATTTTCTTCTGTTATTTGCATTTGGACTTGTTGGATTCTAAGTAGTATTAGCTAGGTCTCTTTTTCTTCTTCTTCTTCCCATCTCTTTTTGTTTGGTGTGATGAGAAATATTCTTTCATGGGTGGAGTGAAAAATTACATTTTTGTATTATGCAAGTCATTGAAGCAATAAACTTTTGATTATTTTATTTGATACGGTTTATATATTGTTTTCGAGAATACATACCCTCTCCTTTAATTACGAAATCTTAAAGTAACTTGACAAACTTATAAATGTAATTATTACGCTTTAAATTTTATTTTTATAATTTTTTAACGAAAATTTGAAATAAATTAATTATATTTATGGATTTGATAATTACTCAATTCATGCTTCAGTCAGTCATAGCATAAAAAGCATTAAGGTTGTTAAGAAGTTGTTGAATATATGCATTTCATCACTTTCTTGCAATCTGTGTGATTTTCTCCAATTTACCAATCTGCCCTCCCTGTCAATCCCTAAATTTTACAATGCATTTCTTAGTTAATTTTCAAGAGTAATACAAAAAAATTATGAGGGTAATCTTGGAATTATATGAGTTGGCTATTACATGCAAAATATCACAAATATAATATATCCACTAGTATCAAAGTGATATAGTTATAAACAATTAGCAGAATTCCTCTGAATGGGTTCAAGAAAGCTTGTGTTGGTTTTGTTGTTGTGTGGTATAATCCATGTGGTTAGAGGCCAGAGCCTGGGCTGCTCAATTCAAGCAATGGACTTAACAGAGTGTTTGAAGCAAAGTAGTAGCTTTCCAAGCGATACATGTTGTTCAGCTCTTAACCAAGCTGTTCAAGCTGGCTATAACTGCTTGTGCTTGCTGTTAGCTTTATCGCTTCGACCTTCTTCGCAGTCTCTATATCCGCTGCCATTTCAAAGCTGTTACATATCCGTGCCTTCTCTAACACTTTGTCGAGGTATAGTTACATGTTGATCTTATGTTAAAATAATTTTTTTTTTTTCATTTTATAAAATTAAAATACTAGTAAATTTAGATTTTATTGTATGTTTTTTTTTCTCTTAAAATTGTTAAATTTATATCCAACTATTTAAAAGTTAAAAGTATATTTAAGGAATAAAGGTTTGAGGTAGAGATTATATGTATAATTTTCTGAACGAATAAAAAAAAATTATCTTTTTCATTTAAACAGATACGATAAGTATAATAAAATATATTTTTATAATCTCTTTTTATACTATAATATACATATTTTTTTGACAAATCTCCTTTTCTTGGTGCAGTTCTAACTCCATTGCCAATAGTACTTCCCCCTAATATCCCAAAGAATGTTGGACAAATACCGCCTTTCGTGCCACCTAATGCTACATTTAATACTCATGCTCCTCCTACTCCTTATCCGCCTAAGTTGAACTCGACTCGGAACATTACCTCTTCAACCGGGGGAAGCCATGGTTCCAATGAAAATGCTATTCCTAAATCAAGTTCGCCTCAAATTGGGAATGATACATCAAATAGAAAAAAACAAATGCCAATTCTATTATTATTATTGGCTCTTTTTTCTGATGTACTGTTGGCTTAATCTTTTTTAGTATTTCAGATTAGATTATGAGATAGTTGGTGAGTTGAAATTTTAAGTAGTTGGATACCAAATAAGAATATGAAATTTTTTTATGCATTTCGGTTTTGAATCCTAATAACTTATGAAGAAATATTATGTTTCTTGTAAAAATAAAATAAAAGAAACATATTTCGTTTTTATTAAATATACAATTTTAAAATTTATTATGTAAAATTTTAATTAAGTAGATAATTATTACATTTTTTATGATCATAAACGAGTTAGAAAGTATGTATGTATGTATGTATATCAATGGGTTATTTCAATTATTTTAAATATTTTTCAAAAAATTAAATTTAAACTATAAAATAATCATTATTCATAAACGAAAATGAAAATGAAAATGGAGAATGGAGAATGGAAGGACAAATTTGTAAAACAAGCAAGTTAAACTGCATATCCTCTCCCGCCACATTTCCTCAAGTGATTAACGTCTAAAACAGAAATTCAACAACCAGAACTAACAGGAGCTCCCCATAACCAAATTTCACTCACCAGAAATGGAAAACAAACGAGAAAATTACAGAAACCTCGAGAAGACTATGAACAAAACCATGACCACCTTTCTCCTCCTCTTTCTCTGTCTCTTCAACTCCAATTTAGTCTTCCTTGCTGCGGCTGCGGCGCCACCACCATGGCCATCGGGATGTGCTGGAGAGCTGGTGTTGTTGTCGCAGTGTCTGTCGTACGTGTCGGCACCGCCTAATAATTTGACGGCCACAGTAAGTCCTCAGTGCTGCGAGGTATTCTCCTCTGGTTTTGAGTCCGGCTTCGGTAATTGTTTCTGTTACCTTCTCCGGCAGCCGAATATCTTTGGCTTCCCGTTGAACCAAACGAGAATCCTTTCGCTGCCTTTGCTCTGTAGGAAAAGGCGTGGGAATTTGACGAGCAGTGGGTATGATCCATTGGACTCCCTATGCCACGCAGGTTAGTTTGTCTTTCAAAACCAAAATTTCTTTTCCTATGAAATCTTAATCGAGTGGTTTGATTTTAATTAATTTTGATTTCGCGGTGTTTCTTTGCTTCTTTCAGTAAATTTTGGAGATTAGTTAGTTTTTTCGAATTTATCAACAATTAATTAGGATAATCATGCTTCTTGTGGGATTCAATTTTAATGGCAAAACTATTATGTTGTGATAAAGATTAATTATGTTGATGATACTTACAGGAGCGCCAGCTCTCCCACCTCTTCAAAACTCCATTGGTTCAGAGAATTCAGGAGCTAGTGATTCTGGTAACAAACTCACAATTACTTTTCGAATAGAAGCTATTTGTTTACAGTGATTGCTACCATGTCTCTGAGACACAAATTCTATAATTCTGAACCTTTAGATAAAGCGGGTAAAACAACTTATTCACCAGAAATAAATTAAATTTTACCACCTTAGAAAAAAAAAAATTCTCTTTACAACTTCTGCAACCAAAATGCCTTCGCATCATGTTAGAATTTCCCAGGTTATGTCATCCTGCTACTAAACCAACTAGCAATTTTCCAGGTCCTGCATCAACTTCAATAAGAATGCCACCCGAATCTGCTGTCAGATCTCCACCAGTACCAACTTCAATTGAAGATCCAGTCACACACTCATCTGCAAAAAAACACAGCTGCTCCAGCAAGTATTGTTTCCTGACAGGATTCCGATTTTCCACTTTATATACATTCTTATGTAGGATTACACCCATCTCACTGCTATGGATTCTCATGCTGATTGATATATCCTGTTAACAAATTTTCTAAGTTCCTGAATTTTTAGTGTCCAAACGAATTGGTTTCACCAACTTTCTAAATTTGAGATCAGATGTATGTACATACAGGCATTGCAAGGATTTCATGCCTATTTTGAGGAAGCACCTCTATCCTTAATTCCCAAAAATCAACTGCTGAAAATTCATGTAATATAAATTCTTAGCTCCCGCAATGGTAAAGAGTTGTGTACTGAGTTATGTTAAATATTTTAGTTGTAGTATTAACTATAAGAGCTTATCATGGTTATATATTTTCTTATAAAAACCTAGTGTTACTTCATAACAGCGCACCATCTCCATCTGCATAAAAAAAAAACTGAGGAAAGACATACACAGGATAAAACTTCAGCATGCTAAAATGTTACAGCTGCAGATAGATATAGCATCCATTTTCTGAATCAATCTAATGGGAATTTTGACAAATAGTTTAAGGCAGATGCAGTTGACCTAGTTTTGAGTAATATTTCCATATTGGTTCAGGTAATAAACAAACCACAAAAGAAAATAAAAATTCGAAGCATGTCCAGTACAAGAAACCTCAGACTGCAGAAGCTGGAACATCTTTAACAGATTCACGCCAGGCATATTCCCTTGCTCCATCTTTATCAACAATCTTGATCACAAAGTTTGGTGGTGCCACAACTAGCCTGGAACGAATCTCCATTATGCATTTGTCAACCAAATCAATTGCCTCTTCCACTGACATGCCGCTGTGATAGTGCCTGTCCATCATGGAGAGCGAAAAATAGGAGCCATAACCAAATGCTGCCTTGTCAACCTTGTGAAGGGTAGCAATATAATCAATGTAGTAGAGCGAAGGACCAATCTCCTTGTCATAGCCAGCCATAAGTATGTTCACAAAGTATGGATTCTGAAAAACCAGGTAAAAGAATTAGCTATTCAATGAATTTATAGCACAACCAAGAACTCTACTTACAAAAGGAGTCTAGGCAAGTATAACCAGCAGTGAACATAGCCTCCCATTCATTCAAATTTCAGACAAAGTGAATATTCACATCAGCTTACAAAAGGAGTGCCAGGTAAAGCATAGCCTCCTTCCTTATTGCAAGAGAAAACAAAACAGGGAAACAAGAGTACGAAAAGACCCCTCTACGCCACTCATTCCTCCAAAAGTTCACGCTCTAACTATCAACCTTCAAGCTAGTACACCAAGAAAAACATCCCAACCTTATTTGTACCTTTCTACAAACCCATCCCATAAGGACACTAGCAGGCCTCATCCTCTAGCCCCTCATATCAGTCCCTTATTTAGGTTTTAGGACCTTCATCCACAGAACACCTATAGAGGACATAAATCTCCATAAACAATGTCTCAGAAGCACTTTGTTGAAGTGAATAAGAGATCCCATGCTAAGACCACCCAAGTTGAGCAGTTCATTCACCTTGTCACAATCTACCAAATGACATCTCCTTTGTTCCCCTGAGTCTCACCATAAGAACTGAAATTGAAGAGACTTAATAGTTTCACCAAGCTAACAAAGATGGGGAATAGGGCCAACAAATAAATAGACAAGTGCCTTCGATAAGGGTAAGCCTCCCCCTTTTGGGACTCTCCTTTTGAAAGAAATCACCTGTTATAGCTAACAAGCTTTCTCTCAAATCTAGACACCATATGATCCCAATGGCCTTGTCCTTGAGGTTGGGCAAAATAGACCTTGGCAACTAAGACAACAGCTTTAGAATCCAGAATCTTCACATAAGAATCAAACTCCAACCCTTCCCCAAGAGGGACTAGTTCCAACTTCACCAAATCAATCTTCCAGCTTGAAACAGTTTGGATGGGAAGAAGAATACATAAACTATTATTAAGGAGGGTTTCAAAGTTTAGACTACAAAACAATAGTGTGACATCAACAAATCTACCATTTCTACTACTATCCTAAACCAACTGTTAATCTCCGAATCAACTATGACTTCCTTGCTCTAATAGTGACTCTTGAGGGACTTGACAAATGTGATGGAAAGAAAGAGAAAAAAAACAGAGAGACAGAGAGAGGATCAACTCAAACCTCTCAAACCCAGGAAACTACAAAAAAGCCATCAATTAACAAGAACCACAAAGGAAGTAAAAGAAATACAACTTAAAATCAAAGAGCACCACCTCTCTCCAAACCAAAATCCCCTTAACATATCATGAAGAAACTCCCAAGACGTGATCATAGGGGTTCTCCACAATGAACTTGCAGATAAGGGCCCTCATACCCCTTGTTATTATAGAATCAACAACCACATCACCAGTCAAAAGCCCCATGAAGAACAAGCACCTTTCTGGGAAGTTTATAGACACTGATTGCAAAGCTAATGGGTCCCAAATCCTTGATCTTAGAGACATCCTCAATTGGCAAAATGAGAACCAAACGCTTGAATTGAGACTAGAGGGAAAATTCTCAGTTCTTGAAGAATTGTGATAAAAAAAACGCAAAGATCCTCCTTTAACTATTTCCCAATGAGATAAAGAAATGCCATGAAAATCATTAGTGCATAGGGCTTTATCAACCTTACAACTTCTAAGAGCATCAAGGACCTCATCCTCAATAGACCTCTCAATCCAACCTCTCCCCAAAACCACCAAGGAGCCAAAATCCAAACTATTTAACGAAGGGCACCAATAAACTAAACCTCCCCCACTATACCATCCCACAAAACCTCCTTCACTGTATCTTATGCTCTACCATATAACCAAGAAATCATCCGAACCCACCTAGAAGTCTAC